AGCAGGTGAGGACTCAGGCAGAAGGGGTGGGCCTGGGGCTAGCCTCCTTGAAGTGCGGGGTTCACCGGCCACCCATGATGCAGCCCTCAGCAAAACAGCCATGAAGTTAGAGTTGGCCAGAATGGAGGCGATGAAGGCAGAAAAGGAATGAGAATTCCAGACATGGGCAGCCAAAGAGAAATGGGCAGTACAAGAAGAAGCCGACCAAAGAGCCCTGGAGGCAGAAACGCAAAAGCGTGAGGCAGAGAAACAATATGCCAAAAAGACCTACAAGCAGTTGCCCATCAGCGAACTATGGATCTACAGGAATCATAGAATATCAAGGTTGGAAGGGATTTCAGAAGGTCACCTAGTCCAACCCCCTGCTCAAAGCAGGACCAATCCCCAATTCCTAAATGGCCCCTTCAAGGATTGAACTCACAATCCTGGGTTTAGCAGGCCAAATCTCAAACCACTGAGCTACCCCACCCGCAGGAAGCCTGAGGGAGAGAGAGAGCACAAATGCAGGATGATGGAGGCACATATACAAAACTCAGGCAGCAAGCAATCCTCTCCAGAGATTGCACAGCTGGGACAAATTGTGCCCTCATTACTAGGAAACTGATTGCACTGAGGAATATTTGACCACCTTTTAAAGAATCTGTAGGGTACAGAACATCCTGGAGGGCCAGAAAATGACTGTTCTGTCCTCTAAGCTGACAGGGAAAGCATTGCAGATGTTTAATGATACAGATGCAAGTGAAGTGATGAATTGTGAGATTTTTAAATGATCCCTGTTAAAAAAGTTTCAAATTACACCAGAAGTTTAGCACCTCAGATTCAGGAAACTTAAAAAGGTTGAAAAGTTGTGCATAAGGGGAATATTTTTAAAAAGTGGATTCAGAATAAAGGGCTGGCATAGCCCAGAGGGGAGTGTTTGGGTAACTAACAGGCTGGTGTTGTCAGGGAGCTGACACCCAGTTAAGCACAAGCTTAAGGGACTCCAGAACTTGGCCCATAGTTGCTGCGAGCATGGTTTATGCTGAGCAATATCCTTTTTTCAAGCCAGCCAGTCAGCAGCTATGGGCCAAGTTCTGCAGTCCTTGCTGAAGCACAACTTTCATTCCAGACAATAGCAGTTGTACTCAAAGGAGGAGAGCAGAATATTGCCCAATACTAGAAACATTCGACCGTCCTTGGACTCTCATACTTACTGACATATAACTTACATAACACCAATTAATTTAGTTCAAAATGTCCACCCTAAAGCTACATTTTACTCCAAAAATTCCAGATGTGAAGTGACTGAAGAATATAAACCATGAGTTGCAAAGCAGCCAGATGTTTGTGTGAGCAAGGATTGCAGGATGGAATCAAATACATTTCTCCATGAAACATAGGCCCCATACAAAATGTTCGCCATCACACATAATTCCCCTTTTTACGTTTCAAATAAGAGAAAGGAACAAGAGTACTTTTCAGCCTGTTCCCTAAATCTCCAGAAAAAATTAAACTCCTCATTGCATCTTGCAGTCTCCATTTACAGTTACTGATCTGTCCATTTGCTCCTCATATGAACAAAAGTGTTTTGCAATTCTCATCAGCTTATTTCAGATGTTGTTAGTCCCATATGCAACACTTGAAAGACAGACATATCTCTTACTCTAGAAAGATGTCATGTAATTAATATCTGTTCAGTATCTGATACATCCTCTATTTAGTGTCTACCTGTTGTCATTGTGGGGAAATGAACCAAAATGACCTATATAGGTTTTCCCATTGGTAATAGGATTCAAGATTAGTACAATTTTTTTAAGTCAGTCTTTACCAATGAAACTCTTAACTTACTCAGATGTATATAGTCTTAAGCTAAGTGAAATATTGAGGATTGAATTCTGTATTTGAGGGGATGAGGGAAAACCAGAAAAGAAATTTAGTTTTTCCATCAGTATGCAGCTCCCTCTATGGAAAACTAAATGTAGATTTAGCATCTGGAATGAAATTGAGTCTTAAATTTCCAGTTATTTCAAATCATCTAGAAGTACTAGTGTACTGTTCCATTTTGTCTCCAACCAAGTCACCCCCTGTAGTGAACTGTGACAGTCCCAGGCTTGACTATAGAAACAATAACATCTTTTATATTATAAGGCATCTCACTGAATACTTGAATTATATTGTTTTTTCCACCCAGAGTAGCTTATTTTAAGAGATTTTTGGTGAGGTTTTTTCACCTTACAGCAATCATAAGATATTTCCTTGCTAAGCATATCAAATTTATTGATAATGGGCATAACCACTCACATATAAAAAGACTGGCAGATGTCTTTATAAAAAATTAGCAGACGTTGACAGAGTAAAACCATGACAAATTGGAAAGATACCAAAATGATCACCTACTAAGTGATTTAATAAAATCAGTTTTATATAAGAGTATAAAAAAATAGCAGCAGAAATATAAAAAAGCCACATAATCCCTTTTACTCAACCCTGGAAACTCTATTAGACTTTGTAGACCTATTTCAAAGAAATATTGTACATTTTAATATTTTCCTCCTATGTTGTTCATCCTTGTCAAAGATGGCTCCTTCCCATCTTATGCCTTCTTTTATGTGTCTCGTAAAGTATTTTTATTTTATTGTAATTAAGAAAAATAAAATTATGACAAAAAGAAAAAATGATTTAGCAGTTCTGTTGGGTGCATTGAAGTCATTTCAATATCTTAAATACTGACCTGTACCCTTGTGAAAGAATTCTTTATTCAATGTAATCTAAAGTATACTGCAACAACTTTAGTCACCAACTCAGATTTATCAAATTCAGTAGTTAGCTCCATATGAGACAATCCAAAGTCTGAGTTCACTGATAAGTCAAATATTAAAAACAAGTTGATACACAAATATATAAGGATCCAGCTCTACAAAGGGAGTCAGAATTTCACCCAGAGCATCTACATAAAACTAACAATAGTAGATGCTCAACATGCCACCAGCCATCAGCTAAATAAGCCGCAAATTTTCCCTTACCACAAGTTATGGAGCAACATTTGTAAAGACCTTACCACAGTGGATACAAAGATCTGCCCCATCCAAAAATCTGCATACTGAAACTAGTACATGAATTAAATTTCCATCGAACAAGAATGTATACTGATTTGCATATTGGTAGCATAACATGTAATGCTCAGAAATGAAAATCTAATAGATCGCCACTGTAATCAAGATGGTTGAAAGAACCGTCAATCACAACTCTGATGGTGAAAATAATTACCAGTGACAAAATGGATGAAAAGACACAAAATGTGGTGTCATGTTTGCAGTAATGCATTTGTGATATAAACATGGCTCATACACTACATTATTACCAAAACCAAGTTTACCTTTCTTAGTAAAATATATAGATCTTACGGTCATGAATTGAACCATTTTTGTGTCAAAATTTTAGAAAGAAACAAAAAAAGATGCTAAAAGCAAAAAGGAATAAATTTCACAGAACCTAGATCTATATATAGTAAAGAGTTGGGTTTAAGTCTACAAGAGGAATGGAAGATTTTTCCCCCAAACCAAGCACAATCAGTCCGTTTGTTTGTAACACATTGTCATCTGTTGACAGCGCTGGCTGTCTCTTCAAAATTGCTCACACCAAGACCCAGGTGGCTCCAAGCTTTTATACCTTTCAAAGGAATAAATATAAACAAAATTTTCACATTACTACTTGATGGCAAATACACGCACCTTTCTGTAGCAATTAGAACACCCTATCCATGCTACAGTCCATGGGGAAAACTGCATATGCATCTCAAGGTAAAGAAAAGTATTTAGACCTCATTTGGGGATCCTTTCTTCATATTTGTTTTGGTCTGTACATAGCTTTTGGCTCAGTGAGTCAAATACTACCTTGACTTACATTTGTGCAATTCCTTTGACATCAACCGCGGTTATGTGGTGTGTGACTTACAGAATTTGGTCTTGTATTTCTAACTTGAAAGTGGATATCATAATTAAACAAAATAAAATGACAAAACTCAATCTTGACTGTTTACAAATTTATTTCATTTCCTGTGCAGTACTTCATGCATATTCAACATGTGGATGGCCCTACGGTACAAGCAGTGACACACCACAATATGAAATTACTACATATTAAGTTAGTGCACGTAATTCACTCCCTTAATGTAGTCCCTCTGCTTTACTATCCATCACTAATCTGAATTTATTTTGAGAAAATAAAATCTTTTGAACAAATGAATCTATTGTTACCTTAAAGTTAGCACAGTACTATTCAAAGCAGTTTCCAAACTATAGGTTGCAATCATGAGGGATTTTCAGTGTGCTGTGTCTGGTAAACCTATTATCAAGGATACCCAAGTCTAATATTACCCATCACACTGCTTTTAATGCACACATCTGCAATATAAAAGAACAAATGACATTTGGGTAGTAGGATAAGCCTGGAATATTAATAAAGGAATAATATAGGCTAGACTGAAGTCTAAACAAATAGGGAGTAAGAAATAACTTGCTTAAAAACAGTAATTTTTCACTAGAATGGGACCCAGGTCAAGTGTTTAGAACAGGGGATGGGAAGTCCAGATTTCTGCATTGTTTCCAGTTCCACCGCTGAGATCTCATCCGACATTCCTTAAATTACTTAATTTCTCTGTGCCTCACCTGAGGTGGACTTAATCTGTCAGTAACAGTGATACCTATTGCATAGTAAAGTTGTGATTATGATAATTAATGTCTGCAAATTACTTTGGATCCTTTGACCAGAAGTGGCACCGGGTGTGTGAAGTGCAGGGTCTCTGTATCCTTGTGCTGTATGCATGCTTACCTTCCAGATATATTACAGAGGAGTCAAGGCACTGCCAGCTATGCCATATATACCAACAACTAGCAAGTCTGTTGTCCTGGCAGCTTGGAGGAGATGCAGAATTCGCCTTAGACACACCTCAGTAGCACTCTTGGATGCTCACTTGTCATCCAGAGTGATGGGGCGAGGAGTGGCTTTTTAATAGGCAGGGATAAGAAGGGTGGGACCCTCCCAGAGATAAGGGTTTGGGGCATGGGATTCTCACGGGAACGGGGCAGTTGCATCCTGGTAGGAAATGGAGAAGCGAAGGACTGAAAATATCGGATGCCCACCCAGATGGGTCTCACATTTCCTGCAGCAACGGGACACGGAGCATCGAGGGTCCCATGACCTCTCCTGGCAGCCCTGCCATGGACCACGCTGGGGCTGGCCCTGCAGCCTCTAGGCGAGTCCCCAGGCCAGGAGTGTTGCGAGAGGGGCAGTGACCCCCACTGGGTGCCACAGCAGGGCGCAGTGCAAGCGGCACCGGGGTCCCCACTCAGCGGCCCCCGCCCTTCACGGAGGGGTCCGGTCCTCTGTGAGGAGGAAGCCCAGCGGCTGTGGCGGCAGGGGCGGCCCGCCCTCACGGGCCCCAGTGAGCGCCACCTACGGCGGGGGCAGTCACTGCCCATCGCTTGGGGGGCCGCCCTGAGGGCCATCGGCTCCCTCCCTCCTCGGGGCGGATGGGGAAACTCCCCGCACTTTCCGCGGGGCCCCCACGCCGGGGCTCTCCCGACCCCGCTCGGCTGTGGCAGGCGGTGGCCCCACCCCCCTCACGGGGCCCCAGCCGCTCCCAGAGCCCGCGGGCAGCCCCGGTTGCGCTAATAAACGGGCGGAGGGAGGGGGACGTTCTACGCAGTGACGTTCCCCCCGGCTGCGGGCCGGGCTGGGGGAAGCCCCGCCCCTGGCACGGGGTGGGCGGAGCCTCCTACCTCAGCCTCACCGCCCGACTCGGGCGCCATTTTGGGAAGCTCTTTGTGTGGCGGGGCTGCGAGAGACACTCGATACTTGCCCGGGCAGCGTAGGGCGCAGGGCCTCGGCCGCTGTGACTGGCCCTTCCCTGGGAGCGGGCGGTGCAACCGGGCCTGAGCGGTGAGTGGGGCTGCCCCCCCTCCCACCCCCACTTCTCACTTACCCCCTTTGATCCCCCTCGGCAGCCGCTGAGGGGGGATCCCCTCCTCTGGCTCTCCTGAGGGTTGCAAGCCCCGAAGCCAGGCGCCCCCTGTGACAGCGGCAGCCGGGAGAGACCCCTGCTTGGATCCGAAGTCGCTCCGGCCTGAGCGTCTGTATCCCCGCCCCTCAGGCGGGCTGGATGCTCCCAGCCTGCGGCGTGATTCCCGCGTCTCCCGCTGGGGCGCTCTCCGCGGCTGTCGCGCTGCTGAAACTGGTGGGGGGAGCGGGGGTCCTGTAAGTAAGCCAAAAAAACCCCCGGGAAGCCTTGGCCCGGCTGTCCGATGGGTGGTATAAAACCCAGTGGCTTCTTTAAATGGGAACCACAGATTGTATAGGATGCCGCCTCTTCGGTCCCGTTCCCCCATCTATTTACACTGAGCAGTCGCTGGTCGAGGTGGGATGTGATGTGTCTCGTCGTTCATTGGCGGGGGAGGGGGTGACGGTTTAAATAGTAACCCGTTTTCCTAGGTTTAATTTCTACCCTACGGACCTCAAACAGCGCCCGTGGATACACCCCTGTCGCTTGTTCCCTGTATTAACGCTGCTTTTTTAGTGAACTAGATGATTTATTAGAAAATAGTACAAAGATGCTTACTATTCTGATCCTTCTGCTGAGTGGGATTACTATGCTATCCCCGCCGTGCTCCTAGTTTGGTTTATTCAGAGAATGGAGTTAGCCCTACACTGATGCCTTGGGCACTAGACTGCATTCACTGACTCCTTTCTCCTGGTTCTTTCCCCCTGAGAAGCATCACATCTGTTCTGCTCTTTCCTCAAGATGCTTGCTCAGAAATGTGAGAGTAGTTGAATGAACTGATGTGACCCCACTCATTCTGTACTGTTACAGCTGGGAAGTATGATGTAGTAGAGCAGCATAGACACTTGGCTTGCCTCAAATGGTATGCAAGAAAGTTAAGGTGAATCAACTAAAAGTGTGAATAGAATGCATATAAATTAAAATGCTTTCACTCGGGAGCAAATGTTGGCAGTATTTTCATCTAAGGAGGATTAAGTTACAATAAACGCATGCTGCCGGCTGGATATGCGTGGCTCTGCTAATCAATTGCGTGGCACTTGAATCTTTCCTGGGTGGCTGCCCAACCGCACAGCTTACATGAAACACAGGGTAGCACCTTCAAGTGCAACAGAGATCAAGGTGCTATTGTGCTAGGCACTGTATAGGTACATAGTAAGAGATAGTCCCTGCCCTGAAGAACTTTTAGTCAAAAATACACAAGACAGTAGATGGATGGGGGAAAAAGTATTAACCTCATTTTACAAATGGGGAGCTGAAGCATAGAAAGAAAAAATGATTTGCCCTAGGTCACATATGAAGTCTCTGGCAGAGCTGAGTTGAATCCAGGTCTTTTGGATCTTTTCCCATAGCCTTATCCACAAGCTATCCTCTGTCTATTTCTCAGTTATATATTATTTGTAGTTATTCCACTAAAATACAATAAATATATTTTAAACTCACTAACCAAAGTGAATTTATATTGTATTTACAATCTTAAATTGTAATTTTAAAATATATTTTGAGTACAGTCTAAATTGACACTCTTTAGGGGCCTAACTATACCTCAATAAAATGGTAAATCATTAGTTATTCCTGTTGCCGTTTTGGGATGACTCCAGTTTCTATTCTTTTAGATTTGATGCTTTAGTCATTTCTGGTGTATACTGTTGCCTACGTATGTATTTCATAGTGGTCTTTGATTCAGTAGAATGTATTGACGGGTCTGAGCCTGAATGTCAATCTCAGGACAAAAAGAAAAGGAGTACTTGTGGCACCTTAGAGACTAACAAATTTATGCATCCGATGAAGTGAGCTGTAGCTCACAAAAGCTTATGCTCAAATAATTTGTTAGTCTCTAAGGTGCCACAAGTACTCCTTTTCTTTTTGCGAATACAGACTAACACGGCTGCTACTCTGAAATCTCAGGACAGAAAATCTAGAAAAGGATTTGAAATATTTAAAAATCTTCTCTGTAACCTGGTTACATGCCCAACTGTAAGCAGCCATGTGACTAAGTTCATTCAGCAACAGCGGTCTGCTATCATTGTCTGCACAGCTTCCCCAGTGTCCCACTAGGTGTGGGACATCTTCCAGAGACATACTGTAAAGACATGAAACTGTGTGTATAAATAAAACTCCACTAACTTAAATGTTATCAGTTCCTTCTTGCTGTCTATTTTGTCTTTCATCTCCTGTTTTTTTTTTTTTCTTCCCCACTTCATTTTACAAGCCAATGTAGCATCCACTTGTGTGTTCTCTTCTTTCTGGTTCTCGCCTGTGCCCTCACCCTTTTTAGGCAGTCATTGGCATTCTGCTTCATCTGAGTGCAAACTTTTCGTATCTGGGGGAAAATGTTATTTCTTTCCAAATAGGTGTGCCACTAGACAGCTAGGCTTTATATTTTTAAAAATCTTCCCTAAGGCACCCAGCCATTTACAAGACAGTGCAAGGTTCAAACTTTTGACTTCTTCAAATTAAATACCTACTGAAGATTATTTATTGAACACAATTGGTGTATTTTGTGTCCAATAAAGGAGGGATTCTACACAATTAGATTCCTGTCCAAAGCAGCTTTTTTTTATAGCACATATGTTTTACATTTTATTAGGGCCTCATGGACCACATTGTCTCTCACTTCCAATCACATGGACCACTTCCCCTCCCATTAGCAAATGCATAACATTCCTGTGACAAGTTTCAGAGTAGCAGCCGTGTTGGTCTGTATCAGCAAAAAGAAAAGCAATACTTGTGGCACTTTTGAGACTAACAAATTTATTTGAGCTTAAGCTTTCGTGAGCTACAGCTCACTTCATTGGAGGCATGCATTCCTGTGACAAATTGCTTTTAAGGAAAAGTAATGTTAGGAAATAACTTATGTATCTTTAGTTGTCTTCTAAGAGAGGTCTTTTCCCTTTGGAAAAAAGTTAATCACGCTCTTGCATTTTGTTCTTCATTTCCTCTCCCTCATCCATCTGTTCTATTCCTTTTCTTCCCCCCTGCTCGTGTTTCCCTGCTCCACATGATATACTGCCTGTCTGTCTTGTTCCCCTCTCCCTTGGTCATTTCTTTCCTACTGATGGCTGGAAATTTCATTTCCATAGGTAGCTCTCAACTGTGAGGGCTCCCATTTCCCTTTATGGAGAAGTGGTTCCTAAGAGAGGCAGCAAGGGTGGTACCCTGTTACTTCCATTTGCTTCTTTGTAATGAAGAAGGAAGAGCCTAGACAACTGCAAAAGCACTTGGAAACCAGGAAGAGGAGCGAGGACAATATAAATTGCCTGCTGGCTGTGCATCACCAGTGGTCAACAGAATACAATTGGAAATTACTGGTTTAAAGGCACAGTGATTGCAGAATAGTAAGGCTGTCAAGTGATTAAAAAAATTAATCGTTCAATTAATCGCACTGTTAAACAATAATAGAATATCATTTATTTAAATATTTTTGATGTTTTCTACATTTTCAAATATATTGATTTCAATTACAGTACAGAATGCAAAGTGTACAGTGCTCACTTTATATTTATTTTTTATTACAAGTATTTGCACTGAAAAAAAAATCCAAAAGAAATACTATTTTTCAATTCACCTAATGCAAGTACTTTAGTGCAATCTCATCATGAAAGTTGAATTTACAAATGTAGAATTATGTACAAAAAAAGGCATTCAAACATAAAACAGTGTAAAATTTTAGAGCCCTCAAGTCCACTCAGTCCTACTTCTTCTTCAGCCAATGGCTCAGACAGACAAGTTTGTTTACATTTGCAGGAGATAATGTTGCCAGCTTCTTGTTTACAATGTCACCTGAAAGTGAATACAGGCGTTCTCATGGCACTGTTGTAGCTGGCTCGCAAGATATTTACATGCCAGATGTGCTAAAGATTCATATGTCCCTTCGTGCTTCAGCCACCATTTCAGGAGACATGCATCCATGCTGATGATGGGTTCTGCTCAATAACAATCCAAAGCAGTGCGGACCAGCGCATGTTCATTTTCATCATCTGAGTCAGATACCACTAGTAGAAGAAGGTTGATTTTCTATTTTGGTGGTTTGGGTTCTGCAGTTTCCACATTGGAGTGTTGCTCTTTTAAGACTTCTGAAAGCATGCGCCACACCTCATCCCTCTCAGATTTTGGAAGGCACTTCAGATTCTTAAACCTTGGGTTGAGTGCTGTAGCTATCTTTAGAAATCTCACATTGGTATCTTCTTTGCATTTTGTCAAATTTCAGTGGAAGTGTTTTTAAACGAACAACATGTGCTGGGTCATCATCTGAGACTGCTATGAAATATATGGCAGAATGCGGGTAAAACACAGTTCTTCCCCAAGGAGTTCAGTCACAAATTTAATTAAAGCATTATTTTTTTAACGCGCGTCATTAGCATGGAAGCATGTCTTCTGGAATGGTGGCCGAAGCATAAAGGGGCATACGAATGTTTAGCATATCTGGCACGTAAATACCTTGCAATGTCGGCTACAAAAGTGCCATGCAAATGCCTGTTCTCACTTTCTGGTGACACTGTAAATAAAAAGAGGGCAGCATTATCTCCCGTAAATGTATACAAACTTGTTTGTTTTAGCAATTGGCTAAACAAGAAGTAGGACTGAGTGGACTTGTAGACTCTGAAGTTTTACATTGTTTTGTTTTTGATTGCAGTAACAGTTTTTATGTAATGGGAAAAAAATCTACATTTGTAAGTTGCACTTTCAGGACAAAGATTGCAATACAGTACACATATGAGGTGAATTGAAAAATTTTTACAGTGCAAATATTTGTAATAAAAATAATATACACTTTGATTTCAGTTACAATACAGAATACAATATATATGAAAATGTAGAAAAACATCGAAAATATTTAATAAATTTAAATTGGTATTCTATTGTTTGTGTGATTAAAACTGCGATTAATCGCGATTCAGTTTTTTGAGTTAATCGTGTGAGTTAACTGCGATTAATCAACAGCCCTACAGAATAGGACAATACAATGTGGAAAATCAGAACTGGGAGCAATCATTGTCGCCAGACCAATATATAGAATTAGAAATTTCTTGAAGGGGAGTAATCCATCACTAACTGTGCAGTTGCCTTTTCAGCATGTTTTGCTAGGCTGAGGCTTTTTGAAATACCAGCCACTTTATTAATAGGACCTCCAGGATGATGAATGTCTTCTTTATTTTTAAGATGGGGGAGGATACAGAGATGCCAGTGGATCAGGCTGACTCTGCTATTGAAAGTGGTGACATGACAGAAACCAAAAGCAAGTGAGTGTCTACAATTAAAATAATAATTTAAAGTACCTAAAGAAATGCACCTTTTCCAGTAATAGTTCTTCTATTTTGGGGGCCCTTTTTGTGTGAAATATCACCTTTTACAGGCATGATGGGTTGATTTCCACATTAAGCTTGCTTTTTAAATTCATCTAATAAAGTAACTAGCATAGACATTAGTGTCTTTATAAGGGTTTGCATATAAGTCTAAAAGATCCATGTGTAGGGTTTGCTGAGATGTATATTCAGGTATATTGCTGTATTTTCACTTTAACTAGATTGACAGTTTACTAAAAAACCAATCAGGATGCATATTCTGTTTCAAATGAAAACACCAAAAACTCAAAGTGTAATTCTTCTGTAGACTAGACTACTTTTTTAGAATAGTCTGAGAAACCATTTTTATCTAAAAGTACTTGGTTTAGTGAATTTATATTAATCTAAAATTCTTATATTAAGAATTCTGGTCAGATACTTGAATTAAGAACTTCTGTGCACCATAACACTAGCTGCTTACTTTACTTTTTGCTTTCCTGGGATATGTTTGAATATGCCATATGTTTTCAAATTCTGTCTTATTTTCCCTTTTCATCTGTGGCTGCCTTCCTGGTAGCTGCTCACTTCCAATCTGGCCCTAAAATTTCTTTCTAGTATCTTGAAAGTTATATTAACTTCTAGTAGACTCTAAATTAGTCCATTTGGTGTTCTCCAGTTTTTCCTAAATTTGAGAACTAATACATGGAGTAGAAAATGCTGGTATCCTTTTTCTTGTGGTATGACACTTATTCAGAAATGTTTTGTCAGTCCCTTAAATTTGTTTGCAACTCCTTGATTTTTGTAGCAATTGCTAATATTTATTCTCATGATTGTTATATACAAAGTGGTGGTGTCTCAATTACAAAATTGAAAAAGGTCATGGTATAAATGTGAAGCAAAATTTGCCCCAGAGCAGAGCTTTATGTGACACCCCCCCCCCCCACCTAGAGTGAATTTCACTGACAGAAAATGAAAATTTTAGTCTGTAGGTAACTTATGCTCCCCAGAATATTCATGTGCAGTAGCTCTCATCATGACGGTTCTAATTTGAAGCAAATGTAGAAGTGTAATAAATGCTGTTCAACATATACTCAGTTAGGGCCTAATCCAAAGCATGTTTTTCCATTGACATTAGTCAGCTTTGGATCATGCCCATGCAGCAACAGGATTACAATCAAAGAAGAATGCATAGTTTAAAAAAAAGTAGAATGCAAGTTTAAAAAATGTAAACTAATAGGCATTGTGCAGTGTGTCAGCGGGCCTTTTATATGGAACAGTTTGTTAATGGAGATGTAATTTAGTTATCAGAGCAAAGGTAATTGCCTTCTTTTGTTTCCTGCCTTTACATTCAGGGGACCAAGAGGTCGGGGCAGAGGAAGAGGTGGCAGAGATTTTGGAAACGAGGGACAGCTTTCATATGTCAGAGGGAAAATGCGAGGCAAAACAATTAATGGCATTGGGCCCATGAGGTAATACCTGGCAAACTAATAATTTTTTATTACATTGTTGACTTTCTCAAGAAGGGGCATTTTATGGTAGGTGGACCAATCTGTAACATAAGGTAAACACTAAATTTTACAAATAAAACGGAATGCTTTCAAAGACAATTATGAATGGTTAGGATAGCCTTGACATATATTGTTGAAGTTAAGGGTGACTTCGTGTAAGTTAATCTGTATTTTCATAAATGAAGCTTTCAGTTGTGAACTTCTCAAAGACATATTTACTTTTGAAATTAATGTCTTTTGGGTGGGAGTGTTACTGAAGAGGGAAAAGAGTTTTGGTAGTCAGATTCTATCAGGAAAATAGGACAGCTTTTTATTATTAAACAATGCCTTTGTCCTACTCTACTCTAGGAATTATTTTTGATCTTCTGTGGTAGATAACATATCCATAACTGTACAGCACTTAAATATTTGTGGCACTTTGAATGTGGATGTATTGGCTGTCATACCTACAGATGTGTTAACAGTTATCGCAGGCTGGTAGCACAAGGTGTGTATATAAGTCATATATACTTAACATGCCTATCTCATTACTGGTTTCAGAGGAACAGCCGTGTTAGTCTGTATTCGCAAAAAGAAAAGGAGTACTTGTGGCACCTTAGAGACTAACCAATTTATTTGAGCATGAGCTTTCGTGAGCTACAGCTCACTTCATCAGATGTATACCGTGGAAACTGTTTCCACGGTATACATCTGATGAAGTGAGCTGTAGCTCACGAAAGCTCATGCTCAAATAAATTGGTTAGTCTCTAAGGTGCCACAAGTACTCCTTTTCTTTTTATCTCATTACTGTATTTAGAGATACGAATTTAATTAAAGGACATGGAAACTGATTATTCTTTCTCTTTCATTGCAGTCACAGCTTGAAAAGTAAAATAGTCTAATTGCCCCTCTTATGTGTCCATGTGCAAATTTCCTAAAAGCAGTTCTTCATTAAGGAGACCCAAACTGTGTAAACTTGTGTGTGTGTGTGGTAGAAGGTGAAAATAAAAGCACAAATGCATCTCAGATGCTGTAACTCTGTCTGATGTGGGAGTGAGTTGGAGCGGGGACCTGCTGATCTCTGTGGTGGGGAGATAGTTGTAAAAGACCCTATTCTCGCTGGAGGAATTTCCCCTATAGACAGTTTTGCAGAATAGTGTCTCACAAAACCCAAACCATGGGGTCTTGCAGCTAGACAGATAGGGGCACCTGCTCTCGCTCTCACCAAAAAAAAAAAAAAAAAGACAATATTATTGTCAAAATATTATTACATTCATTTCCCAGATTTGAAAATTCAGGCACAGGTTAAATGACTTGCCCAAAGGCACAAAGGTGATCTGTGGAAGAAGAGTTGAGATTAAAACTCAAAGATCTTGTCTCCAGCCCTCTTGCACTAACCACTCACTACAACATACTTCTTCCAAACAGCACTTGTAAAGTAGGGATGCCAGGAAGAGCGCCCTCAATTACCAGTGGTGAAGTTGAGAGGGAAGGAAAAAAAAAAATATCCCTAACATCTACAAAAGGAAAAACTCACCCAGGCATAAAGCGATTGTAGTTTTGGAAAAAAACAACAGAGCCAAGAGTCTTACCATAAAGAGGGATTGTGGAACAACAATAGCATCTTGCTGCAGTGTTTTGCCCTGGAGGGCAGAGCAGGAAGGGGCCATCATTTTCTCTTCATGACCCTCTTATTAACTGTCGAGGGCCCGAGCAGCCAACTCAGGAGTCTGTTGCAGGGACCATGATTACCCAATCAAAGCCCTCTTTCAGGAACTGTCATCCCTTTGGTTGAGTGATGCAACAAGGCAGCACAGCAGGTGGGATCTGACCTTCAGGCCTCACCCCACAATCCCACCCTTGATGGGAAGGCCAGCATGCCTTACAGAATATGGAGGCTCCTTATTTTTTTGTCTTTCCTTGGGACCCTACTGTGACGGGTTCTCTCTTCCCCCCTGGGGTGCCACCTGGAACTGTTGTGCACTGACTCACCAGCCTGGGCTCCCTTTACACTGTACTGCTGTGACAGGCCCTCAGGCAGGCCCCTCCAGCACACATACAAGTAGGGACACACCCAGCTGCAGCTACACACAGATGCTGAGATTAGTTCTGCATGGGAAGGCTCAGCTAAGGCACGCCCCCTTCTGGAGTGTAAACCCAAAATTATACCGTCTTGCGCTGCACAGGGAACTGTACAGCATAAGCTCATGAAATTTGCCCCCTCTTTCAATGTGGAGGAAGATATACAAGGCTTTCTTCCCCCTGTTATGATTTCCACACACTGGTTTTAGACAAAACAGAAACAAGATTATTAACTACAAAAGAGAGATTTTAAATGATTATAAGGGATAGCAAACAGATCAAAGCAGATTACCTAGCAAGTAAACACAACGCAATCTAAGCTTAATATACTAAAGATATTGGATATGAGTAGCAAATTCTCACCCTAATTGTTGTTTTTGGCAGTTTGCAAAGATTCTTGAGGGCAAGCTGAACTTTCAGCTTAAAACTCCAGGTATTCCTTTTACAGGCTAGAAATCCCTCTAGCCTGGGTTCAGCCCTTCTCCCCTAGTCCAGTCTTTGTGTCTCAGGTGTTTCCGGCAGCCTTCTTGGGTAGGGAGTCAGTGAAGAACCATGATGATATCACTCCCCTGCATTAAATAGCTTTTGCATATGGCGGGAACCATTTGTCTCCCCTCTTGGTTCCCATGCCCGGTCAGGGAAAAAACACTGCTATTCCAAGATGGAGTCCAGTACCAGGTGACTTAGTTACATGCCCCTGTATGGGGACAGCAGCCATGACTCAGAGGCTGTTTGTAGTGTCCTCAGGAAGGCTCCCCAGTGGGAGATTAGCATCTTCTAAGACCTATTGTTTTCCCTAATGGCCCTTTCCAGCCAGCCATCTAGACTGATTGCATTCTGTCTAGTGGGCGTTCCCCAGGTGTAAACACATTTGCAATAGATGCATAGACAATATTCCTAATTTCAGATACCAAAATGATACATGCATACAAATAGGAAATCATATTCAGTGAATCATAACCTTTTCAATGATATCTTACATGACCTATCGCATAAAATACATCATAGTTAGGCCATAATCATATCCTAATAATATCACTATGAAGAATATGGGGCATAAGCCATTAATTCTCATTTACCTCCACAGACAAATTTACTCTAAACAATTCTTCCTTATGGAACCAAGCTATGTACATTTCTCTACATGGTTGTAAAGTGATGCTTAACACAAAACCTTTTGGAAGTAGGAAAGGGGAGCTATAATGAATTTATCTTACAGTTGTCTATAGCACATAGTACGTAAGCACTAGTGAACTAGACTTGCATGAAATATGTATTACCCTTTTATGAAAAAAGAACACTTTAAATTGCTGGCCACTATAAACCTATAGAAACATGAAGCAAAAAGGGTTAAGAAATGTCAACCCAAAATGAGAAGCAGGAATTGGAACCAGTAACCTATTCAACCATATGTTGCTTTAATAAAATTAAAAAACTATTAACACTTAACTTCAGTAGCCCAGTAAAGAATCACTCTATAGAAACAGGTAACATTACATGTAACTTCCCTTGAAAAAGATGGTAAGAAGCTGGGGAGAGACTCCTTGCAAATAGGTGATTGTTTAAAGATTTCTATAAAAAAAGTTCTCTTTATTTTCGTTATATTCATTTGGAATTCCATTCTTCTCTAATTTCAGTAAACGCTGTATAGTATTAGTAAGTAGTCATGTTTTTTCTTGAAGCTTGGCAGTAGACATACATCTTTTGAATAATGTTAGACAATTTATTCATCCCTTCTTACAAAGACAGTTCCAGGAGCAGTTTTTACAGTCTTCACTTTATATTATTGTATCATTATAACTGTACAATGAAATAAATACAACTTAACTTTCAGATCTGTACTGAAAACAAGTGTCTTTCCAGATGTGGGATAGGAAGAATGTATCCATATCCTGACACCCGAGGCCAAAGAGGAGGCAGAGGGAGGCCACCTTTTCTACCACCCTCACCCATGGGAGGAATGATGAGAGATCCTTTCTCACTTCCAGCACCAAGGTTAATTTTGAGAACATTGATAGAAAGGTGTTTGTTTAAAAATGCTGGATGTGTACTGCTGTAGTCCAGTTTCTCTAAGTGCGAAATTGGTTCACATAGGAAGAATCCCAGAGTGTTTGTTTTTTGATGCAGTATGAGATTGTTTGATTGGACTTGTCTGTGCAGACATGGACTTCCTCCTCCACCATCACTACCAGGACCAATGGGCTTCAGAGGCAGGCCACCTCACCCCAGAGCCAGAGGGATGCTGCGGATGCCAAGAGGTCGTTTCCCTCCACCAAGAGGGTAAGAATGTTTCTTTGTCTTGTCTTTTTAAAATTAATTTTATTTGAAATCTAGAATTGCAGTAATTTTAAAGCTGTCTCTTGCAAGTATTAAAATCAGGGGCCATATCCTATGTAAACATTTCAGATTCCATTGTTGTAGTAATTTTAACTGCTGTGGAAGCCTTTTAAGTATGCATGAGATTGCTAAGAACAAAATAAGTTTAAATCCAAATTGTAATGTAGTGTTGTCTCTTTTGTTATTTTAAAGAAGTTATCTTGAGGGGAAAAACAATTATGATTTTATCCTTTTACACAGCTTTCCCAATGGACCTGGTGTACCATCCCCTCCGCCACCTGGACGGGGCCAGAGATGGCTTGGACCGCCAGGTGGCAGACACTATTAAAGAGGCTTATTCTTTAAATTGTATAGCAGGGCGCTTTCTTGTTACCTTAAAACCATTTGAAATGGCTGGACTAAGAACTGCCTATAAAACATTAAAGATGGCAAAGAATATTAATTGAACTTAGACAGCTAATATTTTCCAGAAGCCCTCATGCACCAGTTGGCAAAAGCCATATATTAAAAAAAGTCTGTGACTCCTTGGACTTTTTTCAAGCATATCCTTTTTAAGCCTAGGCTTTATGGACACTGACTCCTGCACACTAAATGTAAAAGGAAAAACACATCTGTTACAATAGTTTGAGTCTTCATTTAATATACAGAACTCTGATTGCTTTTGACAATTGTGTGCAGCTTGTTTTAGTGTAGAACATGAATTTGTTTTAATGCTATGATTTTGTGTGTATAAACATGAACTTTTTTTAAGGGTTTGAAATCACTTTCAAATTTTATAACAGTAAATGCAGCCAACTGCTTAATATTTGGGAAGAGTATACTGTACTACATTTTGAAGTGTTACCTGTAGAGCCCTGCAAATCCGTGGGAATCTGCTTTCTATCCATTGATATCTACAGACCAGGGGTCTGCAGCACGCACTCACTGGAATGGAGAGGCTGTCATCCAGCCTGCAGGCTCCAGCTCTGCTCTCTAAATCACGCAGCAGCGAGCTGGGCATTCTGGGAGTTGTAGTCTCCAGCTTGCTCAGATGGAGGAGGTAAAGACAACTCCTAGAAGGGAGTAAGCCAAGCACCATTTTGAAGGTGTGGTTGTTCTTTAAATGAGCAGGCGGCAATAGCTATGTGCATTAGAGCCTCTGCAACTGTGTAGAGCTGTCTGAGCCCCCCACGGGGAGGGCGGTGCTGCATAGAAGGGCCCAGAATTGTAGCCTCCGTGCCAGGAGCAAGGAAAGAGGTACGGCGGGGTGGAGCAGGTGGCAGGGCAGGAAGTCTCTGGGGAGAAGTAGGGGGTGGTGGGGTGGTTGAGGATTGGGGCTTGACACAGCCCTGTGTCACTGCTGTGCACTTAGCTGTAAAGCTGTTTAGAGCCCTGCAAATCCGCAGATATCCACAGACTATTTTTGCGGCTGGGATGTGGATATACCTTTTTGTATCCATGCAGGGCGCTAGTTATCTGATACACTAAATGTAATGGTTAAACAGAAATCTGTGAATGTTAATTTTGAAGAGCGTCAGTAGTTCATGAATGAACTTAAAAAACAACTGTGGACTGTGTTTAATTTTATGATAATTGTTCTTTGTACACAGCTTGACCTCATTGTTTAAATGTCCAGTTGTGTAAGTAATTGTAATTTCTAAACAAAGTGTGTAACTGAACACTTGACCAATTGTGTAGTACAACTGGTGTATGCATGTGCATTACCTACAGCATAAAATCAAGTTAAATTGTCAGTTACTTCAAACTATGCTAACACACAGTATTGTTAAAAATCATAATTGTACGTGCTGTGAAACATATGGATCACTGTATAATCACCCTAACAGTTAATTTCATTTCGTTAATGTGAAAAAAATAATTTCAAAATAGTGAAACCTGTAACTTTGTGTTGCTTGTTGCTGTTGAAATGATAGATGTAATTGTAATATTTTGAAACAGTGCTGTTTAACTTCAAGGATGATCACAATCTGTAAATTATTTTAATCCTTAAAATGTGCTGTGTTCTTTTGTGGTGAGGGCTGAATTAAAATTTTTTTAGCAGTTTGGTGCAGTTGGGGCTTTTTAACTTAAGCAGTCCCTTCACTGGGTCCAAAGACTGCAAGCAAAATATAATATATGAAGAAAGCAATAAATTAAGGTATGATAGTGCAAAAATAAGTGGGTATTTCCCACTTTACACCTGGCTTCCAGTAAATCATTATCAAAATTCTTAAAGTACAATATTTCACTGGTAGTAAATTTATAGCTGGTTTATAGCAATTCTGATTGAAATTCTGTACTTAATTTTTCCTGAAAGCTAATATTTACCTTTCACATTTTATTCTTGAAGAAATCAGAATATTTATCCTATATTTAATATTGCATATTGGGGCATGCGTTTATTAAATATTAGTCATTTTGGCCAGGATCTTTACTATTAAGTAAAGCTTTTTGTGCATGTTTTGTTTTATTTTATTTTATATACATATTTTATAAAACATAGTGTTAACCTCTACCTTACTGTAAATGACTTGATTTACAGGTTTTAAATCTAATTCTGTTTGTAGTATGGTGAAAGAATTATGCTATTATTATCTTCTAAAGGGTAAGATAGTCACCCTTTGAGGCCAATTGGAGATGGTATACAGGCCTTTCGGAGAGCATACGACAAGCCTTATCTCAGGTGAGACCATTTTAAAAACTTCTTTTTATCACCCATAATTTCTCTGTCCTTTACAGTATAAAAAATTATTTATGCAAATTTTTCTGACAAATGCACATGTGTTTAGTAACTAGTTTAGTCAAGAGAAAAAGTGGTGAGAACTTTAGTATTAAAGCTTCTGTTCTTTATCCTGTGTTACAGCATATGTCAAATAATAGTTCCAGAGTCAGTTACTATAATGTCCTTCGTTTGTTCTAGTAGTAATTTCTAAATTTAGAAACTGCTTCACTTTTTTTTGCTATTGAGACCTGTATTTTGAACTCTTGGAATTTTTGCTATGGGGAGACTGAACAGCAGAGCTGAAATTCAAGCTGGAAGTTCTGTTGAGTTCAAGGAGCAAAAGACTGGTATGTTCATTATGACCCTTAATTTCATATACTGTAATTACTGTAAGGTACAGTTAGTACAAGAATATTATAGAAGCACTTAAGTTTTCTGCACAGAACTACAAAACTTTTTAGGAAAGAAGTATGAATACTGTACATTAGAATACAGAATAGAAACCAGTGATGACTTCCAGTTGTAAGTGTGTGTATAAATAGGTAGTGTCTCTTATTTTAAAACTGATATTCAGTGAGAAAGTTTTCTTGTCATCTACATTTTTCTTGTTTAAAACAATAAACTTTAAAACATTTTGTTGTGATCCAAAATTCAGCATTTACACAGGCTTCCTGAGATATACTGTTCTGAAGTAAAAAGAAAAGGAGTACTTGTGGCACCTTAGAGACTAACCAATTTATTTGAGCATAAGCTTTCACAAAAGCTTATGCTCAAATAAATTGGTTAGTCTCTAAGGTGCCACAAGTACTCCTTTTCTTTTTGCGAATACAGACTAACACGGCTGCTACTCTGAAACCTGTCCTGAAGTTGTAGTTAACACCAAATTTATATAAAAATAAACAGTAGAGCATGCATGCTAAAAAGTTAGCTTAATTGATGACTTACAGAACTGCACGTTCTTGCTATGTGTCCTGTTTCTAGTGCACCAACTGGAGAAAAACAAAATAAAAAACCCCAAGGGGTCTTTTCAGATAAAGTTTCAGTATAACAGTAAAATAAAACTAAATTGAGAGAAGGGATTTTTCAAAAAAAAAAAATTGTAAAGTGGTTTTCAAACAGCAAGGAGGATTTGGTCTATTGTATGTCCATTTTCTTCTTTTAAAGTGTTATGGTAAGGACTTCTGAGGTTAATTTTTCAACCCCAGATATATTGCATGAATATGAGGCTGTGATACATCAGGGATCGGCAACCTTTGGCACATGGCCTGTCAGGGTAAGCCCCTGGCGGGCCAGGCCGGTTTGTTTACCTGCTGCGTCCACAGGTTCGGCCAGTCGCAGCTCCCGCTGGCCGCGGTTCGCTGTCCCAGACGAATGGGGGCTGTGGGAAGGTTGGCCAGCACATCCCTCGGCCCGCTGCCGCTTCCCTCAGCCCCCATTGGCCTGGGACGGCAAACCGTGGCTAGTGGGAGCTGCGATTGGCCGAACCTGCAGACGCAGCAGGTAAACAGCCCGGCCCGCCAGTGGCTTACCCTGATGGCCACGTGCCAAAGGTTGCCAATCCCTGGGATTTATTAACAGAAAATATCAGACAAACCAAATTGGTTTCACAGATTTGAATGAGAAGCAAGTAAAAAGACAACATTGTTTGTTTATAAAAGCCGCTATGTAAATTAATAAAGTCTGTTTAGTGTACTAGGATTACCATAATCTTCTGAGATTTGTGCACTGAGTACTTTGGCAGAAGATATTGAGCAAAAGTAAATTTTATCTTTCATTTCCTCTCTTCTTCTCCCCCCCCTTTTTATTTTACAGAATTCAGTTTTCTTTGAAAAGTTTGTCATGGCAGATTTTTTGGCAGCAAAACTAATCTTTCTGCTTCTTATCTCTAATTTCTCAGCAGATGGACTATCACCATTTGAAGGAGCATCTAGTCAAAATTATAAGTATCCTAAAGAACTCTCTGCACTGGTTGCGATAAACTCATTCAGTAATGAGGTCACCCTTTTGTAGGGCAGGGATTATGAACTACTGTATAGAAAGGTGAGACGCTAGATTTTTATTTATTTATTTATTTTTTTTTGGTAGCGGCTTGGGAAAAAACACCTTATTTTTAATAGCACTTATTAAAATGCTGTTCACAGTTTTCATTATTTCAAATTAGCAAGAGCTTGCTTTTCTAATATCTAAAAGTTTGAGAGTAATTAGTGCGTAATTAATAAAAAGTTTCAAAGAAGAAACTAACACAAAATCTGATATGGTAGGGACAGCTGTCACACAGATATCAAATGTTGATTGTATACTGTCAAGTAATATTATATGATATTAGTTGGATAGATTTTCTTCTGATTTTTAGAAGTTGCATTTTTTTATTCTTCAATTTATTATTCTATCAAAGAATATTACTTTTAAATACACCTAGCAAGGTGAGCACAGAGTCAGTAAGTGTAAGTAAGAGTTAAAAAGAAGAGTCTTTTTAAGGAAGCAAAAATAAAATTCTCTTAATGCTGCCTTGTCTTTTTTTTTTTTTTTTCCCCCTCCCTTTCCTGCACAGAAATATTGTACTCTGAAAAACAATGTAAGGGAGAAAATTTTCATTAGGGAATCTGCTTTCAACCCTCTTACTGAATTTTTTTTTTTACTTGATTTAATAAACTAAGTTATTTATAAGAACCAGAACTCTTGTATGATGATCCCTGAGGCTTTTACTGTGCATGTGATATCTGTAGCGTAGTCTTTCTTAGTTCTGGAGAAAGCAGATCAATATTAGTGGAAAGAGCATATAATAGGTTTGTTTACATGCCTATTTATGTCCTCTGTTGGCTTTAGGAGTATAGAGCAGGGGTAGGTAACCTATGGCATGCGTGCCAAAGGTGGCATGGAAGCTGATTTTCAGTGGTACTCACACTGCTCGGGTCCTGGCCACTGGTCCGGGGGGGCCTGCATTTTAATTTAATTTTAAATGAAGCTTCTTAAATATTTTAAAAACCTTATTACTTTACATACAACAATAGTTTAGTTATATATTATAGACTTATAAAAAAGACTTATTAACTAAACACTTTAAAATGTATTACTGGCACGTGAAACCTTCAATTAGAGTGAATACATGAAAACTCGGCACACCACTTCTGAAAGGTTGCCGACCCCTGATATAGAGGATTTGTAATCTATACTAATATATCAAGGCTGATATATGCCTGGATGTTCAACAGAAAGATGAGTGATCAGTCACCTCATAATATATCTTACAAATGGAACTAGGCAGAACATATTGGTTTGGAAAAGAGGGGGTAAACGCACGTGCAGTTCTTGTATATCACTTAATACTCTGATACACTAGTATTAATTATTTTCATTTAACTGCTCATCTGACGGACCAACAATCAAATACATATCCTTTCTAAAAGCCATTTTATGTGAATCCATGTTACGGGGCAGCCTACTTCTGACAACCCTTTACTAGGTTTTGGTAAAGATAATGGAATTGAGCTGCATGACGATGATGAAAGTTTCAAAAAGTTATGAAATAATGGTGACTCACTGGTTAAGGTATTTAAAATTCTGGCCCTGTGAGTCCTGTCTCCAGCTGGTGCACTAGAAACAGCAAAGTGTTTTAAAACTAAATTAACCTTTTGCTGTATCTTTCCAAAAATTGGTGTGACTTTATTTGCTACTTCCAAATTAGATTGGTGAAATCTGAGTTTTAAATCTCCAGATGCAGTTCTCAATTTTTAAACACTTGTATTGATAGGAATTTTAAATCACTTGGTTGCTAAAGAACTGCTCTCCTCCCCACCCCCCAACAAATAACTTAAGCCTGTTTGTCATGGTGGGGGTACATTTGTTAGGAGGGAGGGAAACGTCTGTTCCCTGACTCGTACTTATTTAGTCTGTCTCCTGACACTGGTAACGTGAGTTCCCTGACCTTGTAGAATTGAGGGAGAGACTCAGAGGGGTAGGTGGTCAGTGTGAGTTGCTCTGCACAAATAGAGACTCTTTAGTTCCCTGGCACAGCAGCTGGGAAACAAGGAGATCTTTGAGGATCCTACAGGGTATCTAGAGGGGACTAAAGAAGTCCTCCATAGCAGCCAGAGGAAAAGGCCTGGCTGGAGCTACCTGCAGCAAGAGGCAGGTGAGGGTTGAGATACAGGTACATTGGTGATGAAGTACAGGAAATTTTTCCTTTAATTGACCGTACTGTGGATAGAGAGCTTCAGGCACCAGAGCTGTCAAGTCTGTGGCTTTCATTAGTGCTCATTGATCCTTACATCTGTTTTTGAAATACTGGCTCTATTGTCAGTAGTATTTCTTCCATTGATTTCCATGCAGCCAGGATTTCAACCTTGGTATCTGTGGGACGGGTGATTATAACATTGACTCTCACATTACAAAATAATGCATAGGTATTAGACTTCGTAATGTATGGAAACTTTGCAATAACAATCCTTACTGAAAATGCACATGGAGAAACTAGTGGCTATTTTTTGCTTAATGTATTATGTTCATGTTGCATAATATTCTGCTAAATTATGCTCTCAGCTATGCCTGTGGAATTCCATGACAGTCAGTGGAATTTCGTAGGTGTAACAGAGCAGAATTTGGCCTCAAATTTCTATGTATATTGTGGAATAACATGGGTGCTATTTTATCGTGCTGTTTGTGATGAAAGGAGTGATATAAATGATACAAAATATGTATTTTTTCCTTCAAACCTGCAGTTACCAACACCTGGGTACTGTAATTTACAGTGTGATTTGAAGACTTTCCATCAGTCCAAAAGGTGTTCAGAAATGCTGGTACAAATATTTGCCAAGTTACCATTGTCACATTGCAAGGCATCTGTGTGGAAGATAAATAGCAAACATCTAATCTGAGTTTTGGCATGTTTTACATTAGGGAATAGCGTAGTGAACATTTTTTGGGGAAACAGCTGACTGAAATGCACAGTCTTTTGCCTAATCATTCCATCTGCCGCATATGGTATTTCTTACATAAATACCAAGTTAGATGAAAAGTTGCCTATCAGTTGGAAAAAAATACCAAAGTGGGAAGAAGTATCATCCAATTTCCTACTAATGAGTTTACTTTCATAAATGAGCTGACTGAAACAGCTGTTAGGTTTTACTTTTTTTGTTAACTGTAGTCCCATTTCCTGTTTTAAGATTGCTAAAAATCACAGAAAGGATGTTTAGTTTTAAAAATTGTAATGAATTAGTGATAATAATATTAATATTTAGGTTGTAATGTTAATATTAATATTTAGGTTGTAATGTCTTATTTGTCCGAGATCATCCACTAATTCTGATTAATGCCATCTGGAAAGTTAAAGCTTTAGTGAAGATTTTTATAAATTATAGAATGGCAAGATTGGACCTTCCATCTGGTTAAATGAAATGGATAGGTCAGCACCCTGTGACATAGATTTTACATTAATGTGCCAAGTTTATCTCTAACTCCAGTGAAGTCAATTCAGGATTAAATTAGACTAATGAATTAAACCTAAGCTGTATGGAAATTAAATTTAAAAGATACTTGTCTTCTCTTTAGGAGTAACTAATGTTCTTCAAATAGTGTCCCTGTGGGTGTTCCACTTCAGGTGCACATGTGCATCTCCAGCCCTTGATCAGAGATTTTCCATTACCAGTGTCCACTTGGCTCGCACATACATCCTGTGGACCCTTGTGTCACGCACTGAGGGCACCTAGGCTGCATCTGTGACCGACTCAGTTCCTTCTCAGCTACCTCAGCCTGAGATGGAGCTGTAATGTTTCTGGCTGATTTTGTCTCAGCTATTCTCTTGTACAGCTTAGCATTTGTAGAGCTGAGTTATGAGAGGATTTGTTTTGTTTCTGTCCCTCTTTTTTCTGGGAGACTTATTTTCCTAGTGGGGCATGCCCAGCTCTTCCAGGCTTCAGATGTTGCCTCTCTTGTTGGGAGGCTATCCCAGTAAGCGACAGCCATTCCCAGAGTGTCTGCTGCCTGGGAGAGTCACGTATTTCCTAGAAGTGCAACTTCTGCCTGGCCCTCAAATCCAGAGCAAGGATTGAGAGAAATTGAGGCTGCTACTGATGGAGCATTCCTTTCAGCTTGCTTCAGAATCAGGCAGGAGACTGGCCATGTACATCTGTTTCTGGGGAGATCCAGCACCCCTTCAGCTTTGGCATAGGTACCCTCTAAGAAGGGGAAGATTATGGAGGCCTCAGAGAACGCTCCAAGGAAGAGGAGCTCAGACTCTTATCATAAGGAGGCAGCTCCCAAAAGGCCCTGATCCCTGGCTAAGTCCATGGTGTCAGAAGCCTCAACCTCTCCGCTTGGTACCATCGCGGTGAAAAACTCCGCCTTTGGTACCACTGGAAAGTGCCGGGCCTGTAAGGGAAAACATGGCTCCAAAAGGACCCTGGTATTGTCTACAAGAGAGAAAGAGGGCAAAAATAAACACTTCTCCAGACCACTGCCACTGAGCAGAACTCTGGCTTGAGGTCCTCCCCAGTTGAGACCCTCAGTGCCATGCAAAGTGAAGTGCTAGGTACCTTCAGCACCTACTTCGGTATGCTCCATTTCAATGGTACCATCTGCTTCGACTACCAAGCACCTCTCAGTACTGTGATGATAATCTGAAGATTGGAGTCTTTCTCCAGTACAACAGGATTCTCTTTTTCTGCTGTTGCTTTCCTGTTGGAGGATATTGAACAGTATGAAAGAGACTTCTATATAGGAACTCACTCTCTCTTTTTTTGATGCTTATAGGGAAGATCCCTGTGCACAACAAGGGTGGTGGGACCAATCTTGGATGCCACTCCATCTCCCGTATGGCCCTCCAATGGCCCTACTGGGATCCCTGGGCTTCCTGTTGGCAGCAATTTGCCAGACCACCAGCTCTGTCATATCAAGAGGTGAGAGTTCTACAGTCCTCTCCCCAGCCAACCCACCTGAATGATGAGGCATTTGAGGAGCAGGAAGTTAGGGCTGATAATGAGGCCACCCCCAAACCCTTTGTCTCCAGATGAGGTGGTCATGCCTCCACTGCTGTCCACAGTCAACAATTTCCAGCAGTTCCAGGACCTTATAAAGAGAGTCACGGACGCTTTCTGAGTACCACTCTAAGAGGTCAAAGATTCTCAACACAAACTGCTGGACATTTTGCAATCAGCAACACCCACTGGAGTTGTCTTATCCATTAATGAGGTGCTCCAGGACCCAGCAGACTCTTTAGCAAACACCTGCTACTGTTCCACCAATTTGAAAATGGATAGATAGGAAATATTATTGTTCCATTCTCCTCCCCTCTCACCCCCTCAGGTCTCAGAGTTTTAGTTCACTTAATTCTCTGGTGGTGGGTGTAGTAAATGAGTAGAATAAGCAATAGTACTCTAAGTATATCCTCCATAACAAGGACAAAAAAAGATTAGACTTCTTTGGATGGAAGTCTTAGTCATCTGTGACACTGCAGTTTTGGATTGCAAATTGTCAGGTGATCTGCAATTGCAATAAAGAGCTGTGATGACTTACGAAATGGCTTTGTGCGCTCAATGTAGAAGGCTAGGGCATGCCTGATGTCCAGGGAATGGAGCATTCGCTCTCTGTTACTGGCATGTGGCTTAGGGAAGAACACAGGTAAAAATATGTGGTGGTTCACATGAAACTGGGATACTACCTTTGGTAGAAACGCAGGGTGAAGGCGTAGCTGCACCTTGTCTTTATAAAAGACTGTATGGGGGAGGCCTGGAAGTCAGTGCTGTGAGCTTGGATACCCTTCTGGCTGAGGTTATGGCCACCAGAGAAGCCACTTCCCAGGAAAGGTAGGACAGAGAGCAGGTTGCCGTGGGCTCGAAAGGGTGGGGTCTCATGAGCATGGACAGGACCGGGTTGAGGTTCCACTGGGGATTGGGTTGTCACACCTGGGGATAAAGCCTGTCCAAGCCCTTGAGAAACCAAGCCCACCATGGGATTTCCAAACATTGACCTTCCTGCTGCCCCTGGGTGGAATGCTGAAATGGCAGCCAGGTGTACTTTGATAGATGATATTTGCAACCCCTGCTGCTTTGGGTACAGTAGGTAGTCCAAAACAAGGGGAATTGATGCTTGCTGTGGAGGGCTGCCTATCTGCAGAGACCAGATGGAAAACCGCTTCCACTTTGTCAGGTATGTGGCACGAGTGGAGGGTTTCCTACTTCCCAGCAGGACATCCTTCACTGGGTCTGAACACTGAAGCTTAAGAGGTTTCAGCCATGCAGTTTCCACGCCGTGAGGTGGAGGGACTCCAGGCTGGGGTGTTGTAGACAGCCGTGGTCTTGTGTGATGAGGGCCAGGCACATGGGAAGGGTTACTGCTCTGTCCACTGAGAGGTTCAACAGTGTGATGAACCAGTGTGGCGGGGCCACGCTGGCGCTATGAGGATCAAGGAATCCCTGTCCCAGCAAGCCTTGAGGAGGACTTTGTGTATGAGAGGGAAGGATGGGAATGCGTATAGCAGGTGACTCATCCATGAAAGGTGTCAGTGATGGAGCTTGGGCTGTAGTTCAGAAAGAAGAACCGCTGGCACTTCCTGTTGCTCCGTGTCGCAAACACGTCTATGTGGGGAAAGCCCCACCTCTGGAAAGTCGAGAGCGTGATGTCCACCCTGAGGGACCATTCTTGACTGTGAAACAAGCAGCTGAGGCGGTCAGCTAGCTCGTTTTGCACTCCCGAAGTGAGCAATGCAGAAGTCCCACAGCCCAACGGCTTCCTGGCATGGGAGAGGAGCAAGCACCACTATGTTTTTTTATATAGAACATTGCTGTGGTGTTGTCCTTCTGCACCGACACACATGCATCCTGAAGGTGAGCCCTGAACTCTTGGCATGCCAGACGAACCGCCCTCAGCTCCCTTACATTGATATGCAGCAATAGTTCTGGGTGGGACCATAGGCCTTGGGTTCTGATATTGTCCAGATGTGCTCCCCAACTGAGTGCTGAGGTGTCCGTGACCAGCGATAGCGGAGGTTGGGGTTTGACTGCAGCCACCAGTGGAGAGACTCGAGAATGCGAGGTTGGAGGGTAACTAATCTGTCCAGTGGGTCCCTGTTGGGCCTGTGCACCTGCGCCAACCACACCTGGAGAGGCCAAAGGCGCAATCTGGCATACTAGACCACATATGTACAAGCCACCGTCTGCCCCAGCAGTTTCATGCAATTTCTGGTAGTCGCCGTGGGTAATCGGCGAAGGTTCTCAATGTCCCTGAGTGCTTGGAAGCACAGCTCAGGCAGAAACGCCCTGGCTTGCATGGAGTCCAAGAGAGCTCCTATGAATTCTGTTCTCTGTGTTGGGGCTAGTGTGGATTTAGGTATTTTCAATATGAGGCCTACCATCCTAAGGAAGGTGGCCTGAGCCAGACACACCTGCTCTGCAGCCTGTGCTTGCAACTTGGCCTTGATGAGCCAGTCATCCAGGTACGGGAAAACTTGTACCTGACGTTTGCGGAGAAAGGCTACCACGACTGCCATACACTTCGTGAATATCTGGAGAGCTGCCGAGAGCCCAAATGAGAGCACCCTGAACTGGTAGTGCTGGCCTCTGACCACGAAGCGAAGAAATTGTGGGCCAGGGTAATGGAGATATGAAAGTACACATCTTTCAAGTTGAGGGCAGCGTACCAGTCCTCCAGATCCAGGAAAGGAATGATGGAGGCCAGGGAGAGCATGCAAAACTTCACTTTCTTTATGAATGTGTTGCAGTCTCCCAGATCCAGGATAGGCAAGGGCCCACCCTTGGCCTTGGTGATGAGGAAATAGCTGGAGTAGAACCCCTGAACTCCTGAGGAACCTCCTCTGTTGCCCCTAGAGCAAGGAGCGATTGCACCTCCGGCAGAAGTTATTGTTCGTGAGGAGGGAAGAGGGGTGGGAGGGAACAGAATTGGATAGAATATGCCATGTCCACCGTGCTCAGAACCCAGTGATCTGATGTGATCTGGGACCAAGCACGGTAGAAGTGGGATAGTCAATTCACAAAGAGGGGTAAAGATCTGAGCTCGGTACTGGTGCTCCGTCCTCGGGTGCATCTTCAAAAGTTTGGCTTCAGGCCAGAGGGCTGTTTCAAAGAACCCTGGCCTTGTCCTGAGGAGTACTGGCGGGCGCCTCCTATTATTCCGCCCCTCTCCTGGATAAGTCTCGTCTTGGGGGCCCAGACTAGAAGTGGGACAGGGGCTGAGGCTTAAATGGCTTTCTTTGGGGTACAGGGGTGTGGATCCCCAAAGACTTTAGCGTCACCCACATGTCCTTCGGACTGTGCAAGCGAGAGTCTATATTTTGGGCAAACAACCCCTTACGGTTAAAGGGCAGGTCCTGAATCGTGTTCTGAACCTCTGGTGGTATACCAAACACCTGCAGCCACGCGCTGCATCTCATTGTGATGGCAGTGGCCATAGTCCGAGCCACCGAGTCTGCCGCATGAAACACAGCCTGGAGGGAGGTTCTTGAGACCACCCTGCCCTCCTCTAGAAGCTCATTAAACTCCTTGCACAAGTCAGCCAGCAGCAACTCCTGAAACTTTGCTAATGCACTCCAGGAATCGAAAGCACAGCGACTGAGTACCTCTTGCTAGTTGGCCACTTGAAGCTGGAGTTGGCCGAAAAGGTCCAACTTCTTAGCGTCCAGTGACTTTGGAACAGGACCTGGCTGCCCCAGCAGCTCCTTGTGATTTGCTGCGTCGACCACTAGAGTCCTCAGTGGGGAGTGGGTGAAAAGGTGTTCATACTCTTTCTGCAGCACATCTAACATCTCTCTACCCCTTTAGTGGTGGGTGATATAGAGGCCGGGATCTGCCAGAGCACCCTAGTAGCGTTCTGGATCATTTTTATCTGGGGCAAGGCCACCTTAGATGGACCCTCCGGGGCAAGGATGTCCACCATTGGGTCTGACTCCTCTGTGACCACCTCCACCTGGAGGCTTAGGGCCACCCTCCTAAGAAGGTCTTGGTGTCCCTTAGTGGCTGCCGCCGGTAGGATGGTAGTGGTGGTGCCTGCCACCGTCTTGTCCAGGGAGGAGGAGGCCCATGGGACCAGGTCTTCCTGACATTCTGGTTCCCTAGAGACTGGGTCGGGTGCGGCAGTCCCAAGTCAGGGAGTCCACTGGCTTGGCAGACCTCTGGTCGGGGCCGGAGTCAACGGTGCTGGATCTTGAGGCCCTGCAATGGGATCCCCCCGCTGGAATCCCCTCACAGCTTCTTAACGGGGGAACAATCCGTGTCCGCCTTGTTTTTCTTATGTGGCATTGGGTCTGTGAGTGGTGCTGCCAGCTACAGCTGGCCTTATGAGCCAGGGAGTGGTGCTGATGCTCCTGGGAGGAGTCCTTCCTCGGTGCTGGTGCATCCCACGCCGATGATGCCAGTGCTGTTTCCGGTGCTGTTAGAGGGCTGACTCCATCAGGAGGAGCTTTAAATGATAATCCTGCTCTCTTTTAGTCCTGGGTCTAAAGCTCCTACAAACTGAGCACTTGTCTGATGACCTTCTCCTAGGCACTTAAGACAAGCAGCATGCGGATTGCCTCTGGGCATAGGTTTCACATACTTCTCACACGCCTGTGACCGAGGCATGCCCTGGTGCCTGGGAAAAACTACAGGGGGAGCCACCCAAAGTAAGCTTAACTAACTATAAACTACTATACAATTACTGTGACTACAACTCAGCTAAACTATTTACAAGTAAGAAAAGGGAACTACTAGGTAGCCACTTGCTAATGCAACAGACTGAGCTGCTCCATTGACCGTTACTGGCTGTAAGAAGGAACTGAGCAGGCAGCGGGTCAGCTGCAACCTATATACACCGCCATGAAGGTGCCATTCCACAGCTGACCCGATGGCTACCACTTGGGGAAAAACCTTCCGATGATTGTGCATGTGGCGTGCGCACACATCTATTGGAATCCACATGAGCAGTCACTCAAAGAACTTCTTCTTTCTGAATCATGAGGAATTTTTCTGTTGACTGAACATTCCTGCCCTACTAAATTGACTTTTGTTTTTTTAGGTTTGATTTCTTGTTTCTTTTTTAGGAGAGTGTTCCTGCCCTTCTCTGCACAAACTTATTTTCCTTAAGTTACAAAACTTGTTTTAAAGGTATAAAAAGGTTTGATGTTTAAATGTTAAAAGTGTAGAGCTGGCCAGAAACAGGAATTCCTGTTCTGCAGGACGGTTTTTTTTGTTGTTTTTTTTAAAGGTCCAAAACGGAACACACAATTGAAATTCCTAAATTTCTGGCAGAATGGGAATTATGAAACTGTTCATAAAAAAAAAAGTCAAAATAACATTTTGTTTTGACCTTTTCAGGTATAGGGAATGGGTATCTCTGGGCTGCTGAGGACTTCAGGATCCTGGAAGCACTTGCTCCAAGGCAGTTTACCTGGCAGGCCCAGCTCCATGGCAACTCAACTGATGGGCTGCCTCTAAGCCAGAGAGCCTTGAAGCTCTTGGAGCCCCAGCTTTGGGGGGGATCCACCTTACGGGTTGCAGGGGCGTGGGGGAGCTGTGGAGCTGGGAATGATTTTCCAAAAGAACATTTCAATTATGTGGAAAATGAATTTTTCACCAGAAAATTCCTAACTAGCTTTAGTTGAAAGCTATATAAGATTGCTGTCAAATTGTTTGAGAGTCCAGTGGTCTACTTCTAGTTCTATACTCCTGCTAGAATGAAATTGCACCCGATCTGTTTAGAAATGGAAATAAAAAGATTTTGCTCGTAAGATTTCCTTTAGTTGCCTCTGATATGGTAGGGCACTTCTTTTCTCTTAATATATAATACACACACACAAAAATTACAGCAAAAACATGAAGGGTACAAAATCAAACCCTCAAAAGTTAGGAAATGCCAGAATTAAGATAGCCAAATTAAGGTTGCACAAACAATCTTGTGCATATACATTTTGATAGAAGCTAGGGTCTGTCTGTTTCTCCCCAAGCTTGATCCAGTCTGTACCTCCAACCATTCTCCACTCCTCAAGCTTTTAATCTCAGTCTGTCTCCTTGCACTCCAGTCTCTCTCCTGCTTGCTTCCAATCCTGGTCCCCCACCCTCCCAAATGGTTTCTCGTCTAATCTAGCTCTCCCTTTTCCAGTTGGAACTGAAAACAGGGTCTTACAATGGAAAGTGGCTGGCTACCTTAACTGTAGGCTACCAGCTTTGCCTCTAGCACATTCATTCACCTTATTGAAAAGACTATATATTCTGTTATACTAATTTCTACATCTATTTCCATTCAGGTTCCCTTCCCAACAAGAAGGGCTAGAACTATTTTTAAATGAAAGCTTAGATTCTGTAAAACAATTGTATCTCCCCAGAAAAAGTGGGAGGACTGGCCCAAAGTTTGAGAACCACTGCCTAGAGCAGGGATCAGCAACCTTTGGCACGCGGCCCATCAGGGAAATCCACTGGCAGGCTGGGACGGTTTGTTTACATGCAGCGTCCGTAGGTTCAGCCAATCACAGATCCCACTAGCTGCAGTTTGCTGTTCCAGGCCAATGGGGGCTGTGGGAAGCAGCATGGGCAGAGGGATGTGCTGGCTGATCCCTGGCCTAGAAAATCTAATTGCAGTAGATTTACTCCACCTCTTCTAAAAGTCCTTTGTCTCTGTACTTATGAATGTTCGGTAGATAAAATATCATTAATTTCTTCTTTTTCATGTATTTATTTTTGTGTCCTGAAGACCTAGTGTCTGCTTGGTTTTAGTTAAGAGATTAAAAGATCCCACTTCTATTCTAGATGTATTCCTGACTGCTGAACAGATGACAGAAGAACCATATTATTTTTCGAAACAGATTTGTTGATAATGAGTTCGATGTGAATATCCTAGCAAAATCAGGCCATTCAGTAAATGAAACTCTGTGGCTGGCACCGCAAGCTTTATTGACACACAGATTTAAATTTGTTTGATTTCCCTCCAGCTTTGCAACATACCATCTTGGCTCTTTTTATTTTTCTACTAAGAGCTGCTACAGCAGAACTTCCCCCAACTAGAGAGACCTGTCTCCCTCCCCTCAGAGCCGATTGCCTGTATGTAGCAGAGTGGTAGGGGTTGAAATAACTGTGTGCACCTTCCAATTGGAATCCGTGTTTCCCATCAGTCAGCTAGGAATGGAAGGAACATAGAGTGTACTTGAGGGCTAAAGTTATTGGGCTCTTCCTGTCTGACAGCTCTTTTTAAGAGGTCACATATAGAGAAGAAAAAAGACTATGCCCTGAAAGTTACATTACTTTCCTCTCCCACACAATGGCCAATGAGATCAGAGCCCTCCCCACCATACAATTGAGTAAGATTCTCCTTCTCCCCAGCACACAGTGGGTTGTGACTGAAAGGAGCCCACTCATAAAGGAGTGTGTGTACACTGCACTCTAGTGACTATAGGGGTCTAAAAGTCACCCTCCCTCCCACTTTAAAGCACATCTCTGATGGTAGTCACCCCCGTGTCCCTTTGCCACCACACACTCCACAGCAGTTCTTATGGCTCCTTCTGTTGCTGCACCCTAACAATCCAGGTCTCAGCTCCATTTCTGTAGGCCTGCTGAAGTGCAGAGTAAGTTATTTACCAGCTCTCTCTGGCTGTGGAAGAGAAGGGAATTAAACCAAGCCTGCATCATAGGCTACTGTGCTAATCATTCACCCACTTCTTCAGGAAGCCCTCTCAATCTTCACAGAAGAAAAGAGAGGAAAAGGATGAGCTTCCACTTAGAACTGACTAGGCTGTAGTGCAAGAGCCTCATTTTCACAGCCCCCATAGAAAAAAGCCTTTTACACCTGTGATTAATATACTTGTGTTGACCAAGTTAATACCATTATAACGTGTCATCATTTGACACTGTTAAAGATAATTTTACAAGTCCTTTTTCTTAGGCTTGGTCTACACTACAGACTTATGTCAGTGTAATTGTGGTGCTCAGAGGCATGGAAAATCCATGTCCGAATGATGCAGTTACACCAACCAAACTCCCGCTGTAGACAGCACTATGTTGATGGGAGAGCGTCTCCCGTCAACATAGCTACCACCTCAGACATGGAGTACCTACAGTGTCTGGAGAAGCTCATCACCAGGGGCAATGTCTCTCCTAAGCACTGCTGCAGTGTAGACAAGCACTTACTGTACAAGCAGTGTAATTCTGGGAGAAATGCTGTATTCAGTTTTGTGATACAGGTATTTTGGGGGACCTGGCAAGTAGCTAGAGAGTTTACTCTTTGCCATAGTCTCTCTAGGGTCCTTTCTTGATGCACAGTTGCTGCTTGATAACAGTGTTGGTGTCTGATCTGAGATTTCCTGTGTCGTGTTTGACAACACTGTTCAAAGGGTATACAGCATAAAAGTTTCACTAGAAAATATCCAGTCTGTTACTGATTTTGTCTCCCAGCAGAAACTGACCTGGCCTGTAAGTGCCCCAGGTGCTCAGCTGACTGGTGAATACTAAAACAAGTCCTGAAAGTTCTCGTCAATGTGCTTTTACTGTCAAATTGCCAAGTATAACAAGAGAAGATAAATGTAACCTTTTTCAGGAGACTCCCCAGCAAAAAATATTTTAAATAAAATGTAATAGGTCACATAAGAGCTCTGAGATATGTGCTTCAAATAGCAACCTCAGTGACAGTAAATTCACAAGTCCTGTGGTGCTTATGCACAAATAAACCATTACTGTACATCATGATCTGTTCATGTAAATTTATAAAGTTTTGGCCACACAGGACTTTGAAAAGAGAAAAACAGAGACAAAACATTTTCACAGCAGTCCAGTCTTTCTGCTAATTGCCTGGAGCTGGGATCCACACTCACTGATAATTAGCGTAGCAAATGACCTGTCTCATCATAATTTCTAAGTATTGTTTGTAAAATTAAGACAGGGTTTGAGGTTGGATAGAGAGTAACTCCTGTGAGAAGATGCTGTGTTTAAAATGTTAACAGGCACAGGATGAGCTTCCGTTGCTAACAGATGTGGAAGAGCTTTAGTACATGAAGAATTCATGACGTGCTTGCAGTTTCTTCTACTGAAGGTAGCTTGTCCCAAACTGGCTTCTGAATATGTTCTGGTAGTTTCTCTAATTTGGTCTAAAAACAAAGCAAATAATTACATCTACCAATCTGCACCTTAGATGTGACAATTCCCTCATTTAGAATACATTATTTTGCTGAATACATATTTACCCAAATCAAATTACAAATACCTATTCAGGTACATGAAAGGCCACCAAGTGGCAGAAGCCATTTTAAGAATAGTACAGCTTCCATCCCTTCTTCATCTTGTGCTTTCCACTGTTTGGATCCCTTGCTCCCTAGAGAACTCCCGTTCTCCCCAGCCCAGAGTCTCTGCACATTCCCCCCTGCACATTCCAGAAATTACACTTGCTATTAGTCCCAGCAGATATCATTTGTCATCTGATTAATCTTAAAACTAGACTCATCCCACAGCTCCTATTAGAAATTCAAGAAAGCAATTCAATTATACCTTTTTTATTTCCATGGCAACCCCTTCAGGTAAATTTCTTTGGATGTATTCCAAATAGACATCAGCTGTACTGCCAGTTAAATGTTTTAACTAAAACAACACAGAAAGTGTTTTAAAAATGAAAGTAGCCATATTTTCTGCTATTAGCATATCACTGTATAATGATATAGGCATACACTGATGGGAAAATTTCCTCAGAGTTAGAGAAGCTAGAGCACAGAGGTTCAACATTCCCTTCACGACAGGCAAAGAATTAGCATCATCTTTGCACTCTCACACTCATGCACAGTTAGCAGAAGGTACTCCCAGACTAGGGGTTTGCCTAACCTGTATTCTGCAACTGTAGAAACACATACAACCTTTGTTTACGTAGAGAGCCTCCTGGGATTAACTTGTAGTTTGATTAGTGCAGCCTATATTTAGAAAGGCCGCTCCTGGGTATTATATAACATCCTAGCATCCTAAACTAGGTCAGGGCCCTACTATGCTAGGCACAGTACCAACACTGACAATCTCTTCCCCTCAACACACAACACGGGTGGTGGCCAGTTATTTTTGTTTTTAAGAGGAAGGTAGTTATTTTTAAAGGCAACTGTGAGGTGGTTTATCTGCCATTTTGTTCTAATTTTTTAATATAAAAGATACAATATGGAAAATGGTGCGCTCAGAACCATACTTTTCAGTACTATTATTTTAATATAAGGTGCATGAAGTGCATCCAGTATAACAAGTATTCTCTTTAGTATCCACTGAGACAGGATTAGGAAATTCTGCATGCTGGGGTTAAATGTAAAATCAGTACACACATTTTTCAGGAATTTTAGTGAGTGTCAAACATTAAATGCTTGACAAAACTGCATTTTCTATATGTGAAGTTCTATTTGAGTTCTCTCCTTCCCGCAAATACACTTACTCACCTCCAAGCATCTATAATGTGTCCTCATTTCATACTGAACTCTGTGCTTCTTGAAAATGTGTATTGACTTCAGAAGGGTGAATCGTTCTATCTTCCTGGGAGGTTCATGTCTAACATGCACAATCATTTAAACACATTATTTCATATTTTAAATCACATTCATACCCCTTTTAGATCAACTAATGTTTTCAGTATCTACATAACAACCCACCAGGATTTAATGCCAGGATCCTGCTTTAGTTGACATTTGCACAAGTGAATGAGGCAGTGTGAAAAGTACCAGTGTATTTTGGTACTGCAGCCACATTTTGTCTTAATAACTATTAAAAGACCCGGGGGGGGGTTGGGAAGACGGACGGACGACAGGACCAATAAATTCAGCTAGGTTCTAATGATACCTGGGGGGATGCTTGCACTGTCAATGATGCTGTCCTTACAGGAAGTTTGAAATGGTACTTTAAAAAAATACCCACAACCCTGGGCAAGATTCCCTTTTCTATCAATGTTTTGCTGTTTAACATAGTGCTGAGTGTGTAACAGCTGTTGCTATTGGCTGTATGGTCCTTGAACTATTATTGTATCCTACTGCTGACAAGGAAAATAATTAAAACAGCTTGTCAGGGAAATATCCCAATGGCTTCAAATTAGTTAAAAAATGCCATCACTGTACATCTTTCACTTCTGAAACACTTAGAGAAAGTAAATTCCATACCTCAAAAATCTACAACTATGAATGCCATAAGGGGTAGTGTTTTACAAGTAACAGCTGAGACCAGGTCACCTACACTTACACTTTTTCAATGGAGATGCCAAGTTCTTTAGCAGCAAGCACTGCAAAATATTCGTAACTGTCCAACACAGTTTTATCATGGCCTTTAACTAAAACTGATAATTTCCTGTATAATGTGTCCGGTTCATCTGAAATGGATACCTACATTTTGTAAGAAAAAGACAAGTTAGGTGATAGCTCTACACTACCCTTAGCTAACTAATACAATACACATTTATCTTGTACACCCTACTATCCTATATGGGGGAAAATACTATAGGCAGCTCAACCTAATTGTACTTTATGCATAGTTTTGTCAACCTGTGGCTAATTAGCCACTATTACCAATTCTGAAAAGGACGGCAGAGCTGTGCATGACTTAGGGTATAACTACACTTAAAACACTACAGCAAAGCCCATTGGCCTAGATTCTCCTATAGGTAGATGTAATCCACCTCCCCAAGAGGCAGTACTTAGGTCTATGGAAGAACAGTGGAAGCTGTCTACACTGGGGGTTAGGTTGGCTTAATTATGCTGAGCATACGTAACTACACCCCTGAGTGACACAGTTAGACCAACTTAAATTTTCTAGCGTAGACCAGGCCTCTACATTTTCAGCATTCAGAAGCTATTATGGTAAAAGTTCTTGATCAGGAGGGTGAGGGCTCTTCAAGATGACTCGGGAAAAAAAATGTAGTAAGGCTTGCAATAGTTGAAGTTAAGAGCAGAGCTCAGAAACTTCTGAAGAGTTGCAGATTTTTCCTTAAAACCAATCTAATATTACTTTTTTTTTGGCACTGGAGAAGAGTCGCCTTCTCAGGCCCTGCACTGTCAGCAATTCTCTCTGTAGCTGATGAGAAATACACAGGACTCCCTCCACCAGGATAAGAAGAAACATAAGAAAATATTTAAGTAAAATGGGAATTAAAATTTCTCCTTTTAAAGTGTGTACCATACGTATTTTAAAATGAAAGGACTCTCCACAAGAATACTACATTTCTATTCTAAATGCAGATTGTAACCCTAGGACGTCATTGAAAAGGAGACCTCAATGAGTAATAATCCAACTCATATTATAAATATTCTTCTCCTAATGGGATTTTGCATAATTAAAAAATACTCACCTATGCTGAAATAAGTCTGAGTTTGTGTATTTGCTTTTGTTACTGAGAATGTATATAATAAGTAGAGGGTCTACTTAGTCACATACCAAAGAATTGTCCTTATGATGGTGTAAATCAGTGTGGAATCCTGAGAACTGAACCCACAACAAGTCCTTGTTTCTAGATGGGAGGAGGGAGGAAACACCACATTTAACATGATTACAAATTAAGAGCTCAGGGTTTTTCAGACTTCATTGTTAAATGTTATACTCACAGAAGAAAACGATATTGCTTTGGCGTATCTCTGCTTGAGTAATTTACAGGAAAAGTCCCTGGTCCCTGTGAAAATAAGTTAAATCATCAGCTGGTGTCTTTCAAATTAAAGATTATCAGCTTAACGTAGATTTGTTAAAAGCTGGTTATTGTTTTCTAGACTAATAAATATATAAATGTAAGTCTGGAGGTACAATGAAGAACTTCGTGTATGAAGGATTAAATGCATCTTTTTGAAGAAAGGCTCTATAGTACCTTGAAACCCATGCATGGTGTTGGTGCAGAGCAATGAGACACAGACTGGTTAGAGGAGTTTCGTTCTTGCTCCAAAGATGATGGCACAGAAGGGAGAGTAGACCGAGTTGTTTGGAATGGCTGCATTATGGGTATAAAAAGGCAGCAGCTGCTATTCCAGTGCATAGGCCTGAATAAACATCACTTTGATTCCTAAACAAAGTCCATTTACACCTAGGCTTTATAGTGAACGTTGCCCTCGTTGAACACATCAAAAAATGACTAGTTTAATTAATTTGTATGGTATCTTTCTAGAAGGATTCAAAACTAAAGTAATATGGGAATTACCTTTAATCTGTGCAGAAATTCCACATTAAAGTTTGTGTGTTAGAAATGCAAATCTGACTAGCTCATACAGGAACATTTTTTGGGTTAACAGTTACTTTACTTGTCAAGACCTTACCATTACATGAATAGAAAAATATAAGAACTCATTACCTACTATATATGCCCACGTACATAATCACCAGCAAATAAGAGGACTGAGGAAGAAACTAACTGATTACCAATGATACAAAATCATAATTATAAGAATACCTGTGAGTTAGAACTCAATACAAAAATTGAAGGTTACTAATTTTATTAGCACAATAACAGACTCCAGCATGTGATGTCATTCCATTTCTGAATGCAGGATATAGCAATACGTACAGTATTTCACAGTACAATTACAGTCTTTATAGTTTTGCTTTCATGTAATTTAGTAGACTTGCTAACTCTGCCCCTAGGACAGTTCACCCAAATTTGGCCACTTTATATGTCTCTGAAAAATCAGAGTTTGCACATGCTCAGTAGAGATGTATTAGCATTTAGCAGGTAAATTATCAGGTAAGATTCTATCTCTAGTGAGCACTCTCCACCCCCATAGCTCCTTTGGGGCAACCAGACTGAGCAGGCAACATCCCCAGAGTGATTGAGCCTGTTCCAGTCCAGGGATCCAGGAGCTGAGCAGGACTTGTCCAGCCATTGTTGCTCTCAGCACCCAGATGTTGGGCAGTGGAACTCACAGCAAGGAGACTCTCTCATCTATACTCTCAATGGTCCCCCTGCTAGCACCCAGGAGGAAAAGGATGATGCCTTACTGGAATTTAGGGGGAGAAGGGGAGGCACAGAGACAGGCTTCACAGGGGCAGCATAGGACAGGCAGGGAAAGAAGAGTCTGTAACAGCAAAAGCACACTCACTTCCAGAATCTGGAACAGAATCCAGGATTCCTGAGTCTAAATACTCCACTGCTGCCTAGCAAACAGCTGTGAAACCCACTGGCAAGTGTCATCTCCCTCTAGTGGATGATCCACACAGGAGAAAAGCCTGCTACTGCCACCAGTTACTTCATTAGCTCAAATGGTAGAGACCTGTGCCATGTACCTAAAAGTTCCAACCCTGCTATTGATATAAGCTAGGTCAATATGGTTCTGGTTTTTCTGTTTTGTTTTGAAATAGGAAATAACATGCAAAAATCTATTTTAAAAGTAAGTTAATGTTCCAAAGTCAAGCACTCAAAAGGGAGGACATGCTAGAGTTAAGGTTTTCCATGCAACTGTAACGTATCCCCTTGTGCATCTTGTCTGTAATTACAGGATCACATGCTATTTTTCCCACAAGACCCCTAACTCATTCACCCCACACTAAATTGTGTTCAGGGAATGAATCCGGATTGTGCAGTGAATGAAGCTGTCGTCTGCAGGACCCATCTCATTTGCTGCAGAAGTTAGGAAGTGTGTAGTGAATGAGGAAGGACTGTAAGGAAGAGAAAGGAGGGTTTTGAGGTTTAAGCAGTTAAATATCATCTTGGAGAACTGAATTGTATTTCAGCTTCTGCCATGGAGTTCTTACGTAATGCTGACAAGTCACTTAAACCAACATATTCACAGGTGGCTGCAAATTGTGTCCCTTATTTCAAAGTTCCCAACTTGAGACACATAGAGTCAGATTTGCAGAAGAGCTGAGCACTCACAAAGTCAATTAGAGCTGCAGTTGAATATATGAAATGCTATAAAAATGCTACCTACTCTGAGAAATCAAGTCTCCTGATTTTAGTGAACACCTGACAATTTTGGCTGCAACTTCTCTATGCCTTAGTTCATCACCTGCCCTACAATAGGGATAATGCCACCTCCATAGCTTACAATATATTACTATATTTATATATTATAATGTTTTCTGGAAATGATGAAAAAATTGAATTTTTAAGAGGGATGTGATTAAGGAGAATGTAGTAACTTGGCAAAAAATAGGGAGATCATTCCATGAAGTGGTGGCATGAAAACAGCCCAGAGCAAGGTGCTAAAGTTCAATTGTATTCATGTTTGGCCGAGTACAGAGTTTATTGGGTTGTTTTAAGAAATTTGCACATCCTCTGAGGCTCTATAAAGGGAGAAATAAGTGTGTACACATATATATTTAATCACTATTTGTGTCAAGCACTTTGAACAAACAGTGGGGTTTGTCTTATTTCAGTCTAGTGAAGTATGAGTATTCGGTTTTGTGAAGACAAGTAAATTAACGTTTGTGAAGCACTCAGGTACCATTGTGATAAGCACCCCAGAAAAGCGCATGAATGGCATGCAGAAATATTGAATGGGACTGCACACTGAATGAGTATAAAAGATATATTGAATAGCCTTTAGTTACATCATCACATTTTTTTCTGCAGGACCCCTGGGCACTGAATGAGGCAGGGGTCCTGCAGAAAAAATTGTGATAATGTAACTAAAGACTATTATAATGCATATACACAAGGGGGCCAAATTAAGGTTATATGGGAAACCTTAATTCCAACATTTTTTAACTTCTGACTCTGCAATCTTAATATAGGTGTTTGTATGTAAATATATATACATACACACGCTTATAATAGCACATGGTGAACACAACACACTAACTTTCATAACTACAGAATATTAGAGTAAGTAGCAGAATATGTTAAAATTAATGAGAAAGTTGATTGTCTATATAAAATGAATGAGAAGAGAAGATGTTTGATAATTAATGTCCTTTCCTCTCCTCCTCAAAATAAGAATGGGCATCTCAAGTTCACAACAGGTATTAAGTTTATACCTTGGTGCATCATTTATCCCTTTTAATTGACTGAATGGCAGATTTATATTCTTACATTCCATTTTTTGCAATTTATGTTTTTAAAACTTCATTCTGGACACAAACATTTGTAATTGATTCAGTGTTCAAAGTGATCTACTGTTTCATCAAGCTTTGTTTTTAAATCGTCAGTATGAGGAGTTATGCTCCTTTGTGTTACTAAACATTGTAGCCTTTTTAACTTTATTGAAATGCATAAAGCATTGTTCTGGCACACTTTTTTCTTTCTTGCACTGTGCTAATAATATGTACAGGGACAGTACAGAGTCATGTGATTCTGCTCAATAAAATTAACGGTAATCTGAAAATGTGTTAAAAGTTGGACTGTAAGGTAAATTGGTGAATATATGTAGTGGGAGGGGCATTCAGCACATATTAAAATATAAGTTTTGTAATAGTTCCATTTATTCTACAATATAAATCAAATATTTTTAATTTCTTTCAAAAGCTGGCCATCCCACAAGGCTACAGACACTCTAACAAACTGCAGCACAATTTAATTCAAATTCCATATACAGGCTGACCCTCCTGGCTAAAAGAAAACTGGTCCTCTCCTAACAACAGTCATCCAAAAGAGCCTCAACTTTGTCCTTCCCCAATATGCACTTCAGGAAAAAAGCAAACCTTGGAGCTTGGAATGTTAAGAAGTCCAGACTGGGGCAGACAGAGGAAGACAGCAAATTCCAAAGTAGAGGGACTTAATGGGGAACCCCAACTGGTAATTTACTCTCAAACTTGAGAGAGCTAGCTCAAGCACCTCCTCTGACCTCAACTGTAGCAGAAATTACACAGTGAAAACAGCAGTCCCTCAAGTAGCCTAGTCCCAAATCTTTGTCACTTTCACTTCCACATCATAAGATTTCAAAATTCATTTCCTCAGTTAGGATCAGCAAGATACTTCCCACATCTCTTTGCTTCACCTACCAAGTAATCTGTAAGCCACAGTAACCATGCCAGGGCACAACTGGGAGATGGCTTTTGGGGGCCACTATATCAATGGCCATGAACAATAGATTCATAGATTACAAAATCCAACCAATTCATAGCTAAAGTTGTCTTTTAGAGAGAGTACACTTCCAGAAAGCAATCTGTGATGGACCCTGATAGATACTCTACAAGGCTGGACCACTGAAAAAGGTCCTTTGCTCCACTGGGATAGATACAGACCTAAATCAATAATCTTGGATAAAGAGTATATCTACCCTACTCCCCACCCCCCCACAAAAGTGTATTCTTAACTTGGATTAAAATAGCATAGAAGACACAGCAACTCTAATTTCAACTCCTCTGTAGCTTAGGTTAAAGCCTATAGGAGAGCCTTGGGTTGAACTCAAGCTGCTAACCCAAGTTAAGGACAACTTTTTTATATCCAAAGCTATAACCCTCAACTCCAGCCCAGATGCGGCCAGTGACATGAGTAGATCAGATGTTCCTATGATTGTCATGCTAGCTACAAATTCCTGAGTCAATCCAGAGGAATCATCTGCATGGACATGAAAGTCAAACACAATTAGCCAAAGGGAAGAACCTGAGAAATTCAAGTAGGGCTTCCATAGCACAGCCAGCTACTCAGCAATATTAACTAAGCACAATCAAGGTCTCAAACTTTAACTTAGAATTAAACGTAAAAATAGGGGAAAGTCCCAAGACTGTCATCTCTTGGAGGCAGGGCTGCCTATTTGCTCTGCCTTTGTACAGCCCTGTCAGGCTGGGATCCTGGTCTAGGAACGGGGCTCCCAGGTGCTACCCAACCCCTCAAGGCGATGGGCTACGTGCAGCTCTCTAGGCCTGACACGCTGCAAACCACTGTAGTGTGAAAAACGGCTATCAGATGTAATTTGCTACTAGTAGCAGTTACTGATATTAAACTGCTGCTATCTGCCCTAATCTGTTATTGGAACAGGGGTAGCAAATTGTAACTAGTAGCAGTTAGTGATATGTAAAGTTGTTCTTATTTGCTGACTTGTCCTAATTTGCTAAAACTTGACAGTGTTGTTGGATAGAAGCATAAGTCTTCAGCTTTCAAACGACCCTGCCTGGTGTACATAAGTATCAATTACCTCTTAACAGAGTGAGGTCATTTAAACATCATTTATTTTGCAGCTTCATTTACTGTGCTAACAAAACATAGCAAATGCAATACTAGAAACACAGATGTCATTGCTAAAACTACTAGCAACTACTTACACATATTTTCAATAAGTATTTGTTATTAAAATATAAATTAAATAGCACAACAACAAAGGTAAATGATGAAGCGCTCAGAATAACTCAGGGAATCCCAGCAGCAAATAAGAAAAATTTGAGAACTGCTATGAGACTTTATGCAGTCATATAAACTGATAAGGGATTCTTTGTTTCTGAGGGGGTATATGTAAAATATTTCACCAAATCAAGTCTCCCTCAGCACCTCAGCAGGTTACATCAGACAGAGAGGAGCTGTGGTGACGAGGCCTTGGAATGCCTGTGCCATTAAGAACCCAGCCCTGGGAAGCCCATTCTAAGAGGCACTGTCCTGTGGAAGGCGAAATGAAAAAGCCCCTCTGCCCCTCCCATTTTTGCAAACACTGGTGTCTCAGTCCACCGGGGTAACCGTCACTCCCTCTGCCCCAGTTTTACCCTCTGGCAGTGCCTCACCCCTGGGTTTAACCCCGGCTCGTATTCCTGTCCCTGATTTTGCCTTTCAGCCCCTATCCTAAACCTACCTCCAGCTGCTCGAACCCCCTGACTAGTGAATTTCCAGCCCCTGCTCAGACTCAGACCATCCCCCTCTGATCTGCCCCCTTTGAACCCCTATAAAAAGCAGTCCGGGGAATTTGATGCCAAGTCAGGGCAGGGTGAAGGGCAGTGGCTTCAGCAGCGGTTACTGAGCATGCTCACGCGCGGGGTGGGGGCAGGGCCCTGGCTCGTGTCCGGCAGCGCGCGAAGGGCGGCGGCGGCGGCTGTTCCAGCCCGGGACCCGGCGAAGGAGCAGCCGAGGGCTCGGGTCAGGGGAGCGCAGGGGCGGCTGGACTCGGAGCAGGGAAGCCCTGGGGACAGATCGGAGCACCGCTCGGGTGCGCGCGCCCTGTCGCTGCGGCCCGTCCCGCGCCCCCGGTACCTGGCAGCAGCACCGCCGCCACAAGCGCCTCACGCCTCCCCACGCCGCCATCTTGCCCACAGCCCCTCCTCCCCCCCCGGCAACTTCCGGCAGCCACCGCACCATAGAGCTACCCCGGAAGGATAGAGCGGCCCCACCCGCAGCCAGCTACCACAGAGTTCGCCCTCCCGCCTGAAACTCGGCAGCCGCTCGCGTTGGAGCTGTAGCCGGTCGGCGCCGGAGGCGGAGTCAGAGCCAGACCCCACCACGCCGTTACCGTCCCCAAAGCCTGCGGCGGCGCCGACAGCCTCACCCCCGCCTGAGCACAGCGTCGGCTTCAGGCCCCACCCCGCTGGGCCCTGCCCCTCCCCTGGCGGAGCCCGAGCGGGAGGCGCAGCCCCTGCCTGCCGAAGGATGAGAGGCCCCCGGGCGGCTGCCCTGCCTTACTCTCCCTCGTCCCTCGGCCAGCCGCGAGCCAGGGACTCCCGTTGCCCGGGGGCGGGGCGGGGGAGGGGAATGGGCTTCGGGCGCCATTTTCCAGCTCGCGCCTGCGCACTGCGTCTCGTGCTTGGCCCCCTTGGCACCAGAAGAGGCGCCCTTCGAACAGCTGCCAGCCACCAGCCCCTCCCCCACCCACCCCGCCTCCGGCGCGCTCCTGGGCGGCGCTGCCTGGGAGGAACCCAGGGGGGAGTGGGCGGTGGCCTGGGGCTGATCCCTACGGGTCCTTGAAATGCGAGTTAACGCTGCTCAACAATGGGTTCCGCCCTGGCTGGAGCCGGGACAGGCTGAGCGCGGCTCGAAAGCGTCTCCCGCCCGCCGAGCGCCCGCACCCAGACGGCGTCTGTCCAGTGTCATCGCCGCCGTGGTGGGCTGGGGCGTCCCCCTTGCTCGTTCACAGCTTCGCTTATAATCGCTCTAGGCCGGCGCTGCTCTCAGGGGGTTTAGAGGCGTCCGTAGCCACGACTGCAAAACAAGGCAGAGCACGCAGGGACAGTGACAGACTTTGCAACACCCTCTCGGTGCCCACCCAAGCTCCGGCGTGCGACTGACTACAAACCTAAGAAAATCAAATCAAAAGTCAAAGGCAGCTATAAACCTGTCAGGCAAATGTAGCTGATTAGAACTCTGTGAAAAGCTTTTGAAACTCTGTTTGTTCAGGTTTCGGAGGAACAGCCGTGGTAGTCTGTATTCGCAAAAAGAAAAGGAGTACTTGTGGCACCTTAGAGACTAACCAATTTATTTGAGTATGAGCTTTCGTGAGCTACAGCTCACTTCATCAGATGTTTACCGTGGAAACTGCAGCAGACTTTATATACACACAGAGAATATGAAACAATACCTCCTCCCACCCCACTGTCCTGCTGGTAATAGCTTATCTAAAGTGATCAACAGGTGGGCCATTTCCAGCACAAATCCAGGTTTTCTCACCCTCCACCCCCC